TTCTTGCTTTTCGGGGGGTGCAAGGCACCCTAAAGAAAAAAACCCCAAAAAAAAAAAAAAAAAACATGCATCTAGGGCCGGCCGTAGTGGTGCAGAAACACAGTGCTCCACAATGCCAAACCCACCTGGGAAGATCCTGGGTTCCTTGTGTCCTAAGGTCTCCTCATATTTGCCAGGGGCTTGAGTACCTATGATCACGGTTGGGGGTGGATCATGGTGTGAAGACCCTTTTGGGGGTTCCTGTCTCTTTTTCTGCTCATATGGGAGAAATAGATAATACTTAAACAAAAGGTGGGTCATCCCATTGCCTGGAGGTTAAGGGGGCTGAATCCCATATTGTCAGCTGCGTATGGTTTGAGTCACAGCTCAAAAATTTGAGTCCCAAATCTTGAAAGGAGGGAAAAAAGGAGGACGAGAGATTGCACAATGACCATTCTCCAGGGAGTGCTTTATTGCTTTCTTTCTCTTTCTCTGTCTCTCTCTGGAGAACACATGTGCCCTCTTATAGGAGAATCTATAAAATAAATACATTACAGAAGTAGCCAGTGGTGAGTGAATGGATGGTTGGTTCCCAAATGGCTGCCTGTGGTTCAAATCTCAGACCATGGTTTGAAAAACACACCTGGTATGTGTGCTTACATGCTCAAAATTCCTGAGAAAAGAGTGACAAAGGAGCAGCATGGCCAACCCCCTGTGGAGTGTTTCCTCACTCTCCAACCCCATCTCTCCATGGAGCAAACTTTTTTTTTTAAAGGATATTACTGGGACTGGGAGGTAGCGTGGTGGTTAAAGGCCCTGGATTTCCCACATGACCCACTGCGGTTTGAGTCCCAGACCTGGCAGCTTTCCCTTTCTCTTTGTCTCTGTCTGGTCACATTAAAAAATAATAATAACAAATGGAAATAAATCCTTTTGTTTTAAAAGGATGTTGCAAAGGTACCATAGTGTTTATATATGGGCTTGTTTGGAAATGATAAATTCTTGTTTTGGCTTTGTCCTATTTCCTTTTGTATTATTTCCATTTATAACTAAAAGATAAAGGTAGCAATAGCACTTTCTATGTATAAAATATTTTTTAAAGAATTATTTATTTAATTCTATTTGTTGTTGTTTTTGTTATTATTTAATTTGAGCAGACAGAGACAGAGAAAGAAAGGAAAAGAGAGAAAGCAAGCTGCCAGGTCTGGGACTCGAACCGTGGTCAGCCATGTGGGAATCCAGCACCTTTAACCACCATGCCACCTGCTGGCCCCTCTATATATTAAATATTTTATAGATTTTCTGTTGGGAAAACAAGATACTGTTTAAAGATACATTCAAATTTACTAGATAAAATAATCCAAGTTCCATTTCTAATGTTCTCACCTTTTAGGATATTTTAGATGGCATTAGTCACCTGATATAGTAGTACAGTAAATAATGCAATAAAAAATAATACAGTAAATAGCATTTTTATTCAAGGTATCATTAAGGCTTAAAAGCTGTGCTATATTGAAGTTGAATCTTGATGACTAACAAGTTTTGTCCGTATTTTCTATGTGAAGCTAGTTAAGTGTCATATTTATTTCAGTTACATTTGATAGGAAACACATGGCTCTGTTGGCAGCATGCAGTCTCCGTAAGTGTCTCAGACAGCTCTTCCTGTTCAGACACTGGTCGTGTAAAATAAAATGGCTTTCTCGTTTTATTTTGGATGCCGATGGCTTCCATCTTCACAGGCATTGGAATGGATACGTGTGTCATTCCTTTGAGGCATGGTGGCCTTTCCTTGGTTCAAACCACAGATTACATTTATCCCATTGTTGACGACCCTTACATGATGGTAAGTATGACCTAACGTGTTTTTATAACTGAGGTTGCTTATTCATTTGGTGTTTGGTTGTGGCTGGGTTTTATATATACATCCGTGGGACCTGAGGTTTTTGTTTCTATGGTATCTAAATACTGCTACCCCGGCCCCAGCCCCTGCAGTGGCTACAGTTTGACTTGTTTCCTGCTTACATTTGGCCCTGTGCATCAGCCAGTTAGGGTAGAGGCATCAATGTCCTCCCTCTGCTTCTTTGTATTTGAGTATATGATTGCGTGAGAAACACCTGTTGTCTTAGTAGGGTGTCTGTTCACTAGTATTTCTGTTGTTTTCTTTCTTTTGTGAACCTCCCTTATATTATTGTATTCGCCACCACAAATGTTACTACATTCTCTAATAGGACCTATCCTGAATGTTTCCTTCTAGAAACAATGGCACTTAGCATTAGCATCTCATCACAGTTAGCCTTCTTGGACATTTATTCTGCCGACTGGTCACTACTTCACACCCATGCACCTGTGCACCCACATACCGCTGTGTTATATGCCCCTGTGTGTAATGCATATGACTACCAAATTACAGTTCCTAGCCACTGATTGTGCACTGCTCAGATATATTTCCCAGTTGTTCCTTCATAGTTGCAGCCCACAGCTTTTTGATCTACCCGGGCTTTAACTCCAACCCCACTTCTTTACCAGCTGAGAGGAGCCAGTGAAGAGAAATGGGAAGATCCTATTTGTTATGAAATGCCAGATATCCTTGGTGTATGGTAGTGGCATAGGGGTCAAACTGCGTACATAGGGATTTAGGCCATGGGGCAACTAAGTGGGAGCTGTCCCCCTCTCGGGTACCAGTGACCCGTCAGCAAGTAATTAGTAAAGAAATCTGTATTCTCTATACGTGTCCATCAGTTCTCTCCTCTAGAGCAGTACTCTTGTGACTAGATGGGTGACACCCCTAGTGTCTCTGCTGACCAGGTGCCAGAGATGGCTACAACCAGAATGCACTCTTTTCCAACATCTCTCTCTCTCTTTTTTTTTTTTTAAAGAATTACTTATTTCATTTAACCTTTTAATCATTTTTCACTTTGATCAGAGAGAGAGAGAGAGAAAGTGAGAAAGCAAGCCACCAGGTCCAGGACTTGAACCGTGGTCTACCATGTGGGAGTCTAGCACCTCAACCTCACGCTACCTGCTGGCCCCGTCTTTTTTCCAACATCTCTTAATAGCTTTTGAGAGCACTCAGAATAGAAGGGGTAATAAATTGCTGCTCCCTAACCAGAGATTGGCGCCTTGTAAACCACCTGTTAATTGGTCTTGGGAATGTTGACAGTGGGTCTATAGATGGTAATAGAGCAGCATTGCCAATCTACTCAGGATTCACAAGCAAACATAACACAAATGATTGGGAACAGTGATTCTTCAGAACTTGATTATCCTTATGTCAGAAGAAAAATCTATCATTTCTCTTTACTGTCTTCAAAAAGCAATAATGTAGACAGTGGCAACTGAACATTTTAAAATCTCCAGTGTCGGAACCAGCAGTTAGCGTAATGGCTATGTCGCTGAACTCCCATGTAGCCGACCACAGTTTGAGTCCTGGACCCGGTGGCTTAAACTCACGCCAGGTGCGTGTGCGTGCGTGTCCAAGATCCCAAGAGGAGAATGGAGGAGAAGGGATTACTCCATGGCCATCCCCCCGGGGGGTTGATTTCTCGCTTTCTGTTTCTCTGTCTCTTTCTGGCGAGCACATGCGCCCTATAGCAAAAACCTCTCAAAAAAAAAAAAAATCTCCAGTGCCATTAAAAAAACCTTTATTACCACATTTCTGTTGAATACTATTTTGAAGTTTCTAATAAAATAATATAGTTTACTGGGAAGTGCTTCTCTATTTCTTTAGAAAACCATCTGGCATCAGTCCTGGGTATTTTTTCTTTTATGTGTATATTTTTGCCTTCCATGTCATAGAAGATTATTTTCCTGTTTATCTCCTATAGCCTTGAAAAGAAACTACAAAAATTTCTCAATCCAAGTATATAAAACCATCTCTTCCTCTATAACCAATAAAGCCAACATGTTTTAGAACCTGTTTATGATAAATGGCTATTTCCAAGTTTGCTTTAGGACAGTTGTATTTAGACTTCATTACCCCCTGCTGCTTCCTCCCAAAGCGTTGGCTCTTACCTAGATTGTCCTCCTGTCATCCTCCCAGCCTCTCTTCTCTAAATAAATTAAAGGCTTCTAATTCTAAAATGAGAAAGGACTTGTACATTTCTTGGTTCTGCATAAGAAAGAAGTATTCAGAAGTGAATGGCCTAGTGTTTCTGTGATTAAGGAAAGGTAAGTAGTCCGCAAATCTTAGAAACAGGCCCACATCCCAGAGAGTCCTCAGTTCTCATTGAAGGCTCACTCCTTGTTTCTACAGATGGTAAGTCCCTGCTTGTCCTTTTTCACATCTCCCTTCTCTTCCCAGGGCAGGATCACTTCCAAGAAGATGAGCAGTTTCTGGGAGCTGTTATGCCCAGACTCGGCATTGGAATGGATACGTGTGTCATTCCTTTGAGGCATGGTGGCCTTTCCTTGGTTCAAACCACAGATTACATTTATCCTATTGTTGACGACCCTTACATGATGGGCAGGATAGCATGTGCCAACGTCCTCAGTGACCTCTATGCAATGGGTGTCACAGAATGTGACAATATGCTGATGCTCCTTGGAGTCAGTAATAAAATGACCGACAGGGTAAGTAGGAGGTCCCACAGCTGTTTGGAAGGTCTATTTTCTTCATCACATCATTTGACTTGTTTAGACTTCACTTCCCAATCTTAAAAGCCCACACCACGTGGCGTCCGATATTCCTTCTGGCTTTCGCCTTTTTCGGCAGTTATCAGTAACTTAAAATGAGAGTTTTACTTATTCATCATTTCATTTCTATCACTTGCTCCCTTTGTCTTTTGAATGAACCAGAACCAAGAATCTGTGTGTGTTAATGACGTGCAGGCCATCTTACCTTGTGCTGGGTCTGTGGCTCAGGCTTTGCTTTACATGTGGGACATGTGGTACTTAGAGGGCCAGGCCCCTTCTGCATTGGTGGCTAGGGTGTCACTGACATGGACAGTGATGAGGTTGGGGCTGGACTCTGGGTCCTCACCTGGCAATGTGTGTCCTTACTATCTGGACCTGGTCTTTAAACCAGAGATGAATTTTCAGTAGGCCGCCTCTGCCCTCGCAGTGTGTGCTTTGATCACTAGTTGTACACAGTGGCCTCATTATAGCTTCATGTTGCGTGGTGAGATGTTAGCCTACTGGAGGGCATGGGTGTGCGTGCACAGTGAACAGGTCTTGGGACCCCTGAGAACCCTGAGCATGCTGACGTCTCTCTTCAGCCTCAGGGCTAGGCCTGGGCACCAGGTTGCATGTGGCTGGTACTCTCCTGTCAGCCTTTGTTTACTGGGTAAACCAGAGTACCTTCCAGCATTTGGTAAAGTAGTTACAATGTGAAATGCTCCTTAGCTTTTGTTACATCCTGCCCTGTCTGTAGACTTCCAGGACTTTCTGTAGGATTTTATGATCTTTTATGTAATGTAGTAAAGAAACTAATTTTTTTTTTTGAGCAGAATAATTTGACTTTTCATTTGTGTCCTTTTAAACCCTAGGAAAGAGATAAAGTGATGCCCCTAATTATACAGGGTTTTAAAGATGCAGCTGAGGAAGCAGGGACATCCGTCACAGGTGGCCAGACAGTGCTGAACCCCTGGATTGTTTTGGGAGGAGTCGCCACAACTGTCTGCCAGCCCAATGAATTTATCATG